TTAGCTTTCATTAGTGAAGAAAAAATTGTTTAAAAATAGCCGAATTAGTGTTTCATGAAATATGGAAAGATGCATTCAGACAATTTTATAAAGAAAATTTACGAATGTAAACCATCTTATTCAAACTAAATTTTTTTTTACGCATCTCAATCCTGAAACAGTTTTTTCCTGTGCTTTTTGTTTCTTCTGGGCTGTTATCAACAAGAAAAGCTTCCGTAAGATCTTTTTGTTCTCTTTCATTTTACTTGTTAGTAAACGTACGAAAAAATTGGAAAGTCTGAGAACACCATATTTTTTTTCTCTTGCATGTGGCCCTTTTAAAGTAAGTGAAATGACAATCAAAAGAAACTACGCATACATTTTGTTGTGAAAATTTGTGCGATTAGTACTCTTGTATGCAGCAGTCGTTTAGCTTTAATTTCTAATAAACTGGCCATTATTTCTTATCTTACATGTATGGAAAGTATTACGCTATCAAATATTAGTAAAAATAATGAAGTCTCACAACAATATTTATTGGAGGTTAATGATGAAACAATTCATAAACCAATACAACTCTCAAAGCAACATACATTCTTTTTATTAACGGCAGTCCTCTCTTGCAAATTTCTCTAGAACAGATAGATAGCTCTTTTTCAAAGGTTGAATATTAGATTTTACTAATATTATGTAGAGGCTACTTTATAGTTGACGTAGTATAATACATTTTGAGAGTGTGGGTGTAAATTCGGGTGAGGAGAAAACCTATACTTATCCCATCTATTCACCTACCGTTTGGAAAAGACTAAAGAAATGATGCTTTTTAAGAAAATATCTACTTGAAGCAATGTCTATTACTTGTAAAAATTTGGAGCTCGATTAAATGTAGTACGTCGAAGACGTTAGGCTGTTCTGAATGTTTCTCGAAAACAAAAAAGAAATTCAGGAGTCATACGTCATTGTGAAACACACGTTCATGTATATAGCAGAGATATATTTGTCGACTAATGACAAAAAAATCTTTAGTATCCAGTGTTGCTAGAAACTCTTAAGTAACCTTACGAACATATTAACAACATGATGTAGCTATTTTAAGAAGAGAATCCGCTATACAATAAAATAACAACAGAGAGGTATCTTAGTCAGAATCTTCAAAGTAGTAAACTTTTACAAGTTAAAATAGCAATGAAAATTTGCTATTTATGTAGGATGTGACAGATAACACGAAGAGATTGTATTACAATCAATAAATCAAAATTCCAAAGCATGACTTATTCCGATCTCAGCTAGGAACATATCTTGTAGGTGGTATCAATACATTTTTAAAATTAAAATTTTACATATGTACGAAGTGTAAACAGAAGCTAATTACAGATTGAGAATTGGTGGCTGCGTGAATCGAAGAAACACATCCACACCCACAACCAAGATAAGGACATTTGAGAAAGAAAAGAAAACAAAAATGCGAGTTCGTGAGCTCAATGATCATCAGAAGGCTTCTGTTATTGATGTGCGTAAATTCTGATTATTTTATGCTACCGAACTCGCGAAGAAGAAAAAATGAACTATTTTTATTATTAGGTGAAGTGAATGAGAATAATCAATTTCATCATCCAACTGATTTGGCATTTGATAGTAATGGCAATCTATATGTAAGTGATGCCTGCAATCATTGTGTTCAGTTTTTTGCTTTGATCAATAATCGATTATGTCAAGCATCATCGACAACAACTGTGAAAATATCAACAGGTAATTCCATTATTTTTGTCTTTTTCTTCTATTTAATTTAATTTTTGTTTATACGTTTAGTAAGTTTCTCAATATACAGGTAAGTAAAGCAAAATTGAAAAATAACATTACGAAATATAATTTTTCTTTAAGGTTATCAATAGCTTTATCTTTGATACTTATTATAACTTGGATTCTAATGAAACTATTGTGACTGTCCTATCACACTATGTAGTTGTGGCATGTATGATATTTTTATTTCATCTAAATAAATAAAATTCAACAATATTTCAGTCGATCATCAAATTATTCTATCTCAGAAGACAAATAAAAATATTAAAAAGATATAAAAAAGGATATGACAAAAAATCATGATGAGTTATGAAAGAGTATATTTCATATTTATCATATACATGTCTAAGAAATAAAAATGCGCATTCCATTCACGACGGAACGTCTCCAAGGGAGATTATCCAATCAAGCTGATATTTTGCCAACAAGTAATAGTGATGTAACCAGGAGATCGTGAGTGGTTGGGCAGTGTTCTATAATCTTAGGGGTAATCTATAAAATATAATGCCAATGATACTAATTAACGGGTATGGCACAAGAAATTGCCGATTTTTGATAGATTATTTTCTCGAGTTAAGCTGGCTCAGAAAGTTTCGTTCTGATGTTAAAAGATAGAAAATTTTGCGTAGATTTTATTGATATGTTCCTTTCAAAATGAGCATTTGTTCCTTTCCTGAGGCATTAAAGGTACTGTATATCACAAAAACATATTTTGCTAAACTGTAAAATGAGACACTTTTGAACAGAAATAGTTGTCCAGTTAATTTTAGTTCAAAAATTTCTTCTTAGTGGTAAGAGATATAAAATTTTTCGGTGTATCTACTGTTATGTTGGTTTTTATATACTCAGCTGTTTCTACTAAAAATAAAAACACAAAACACTAAAAAAAAAAGGTATGCTCAGCCAATGGAATCATAGGTTTCGTTGCCAATGTTTTGAAAAATTGATTTTTATAAAAAAAAGTATTCTTTTTATATCAATAGATGCAGAATTTCAAGCTCTACAAAACGCTCTTCATCATAATAACTGAATTGCATTTGTAACCTAGTGATGAAGCTAAGATCTTTTCCTTGACAAAAAGGCGCCAAAAATGGACAAATAGATCGTTTTTTTGCAAGTGGCTTTTAAAAAGAAAAGCTATTTATCAGAGAATTTGGTGTTGTGTCTCAAAAACAAATATGTTTCTACGTTTTTTTCATACTGGGTTTGGATAGCATCGATGAAATTATTTAACGAAGAAAAATGACATTTTATTCCAGTAAAATATTGAGCAAATTATGTTTTTGTGATAGCCAGCATCTTTAGCACTACAAGAATAGAACAAAAGATCATTTTAAATGGAACATATCCATAAAATCTAAGCAAAATTCTCTATCTTTTAACAGCACAACGAAGTTTTCTGATCGAACATAAATTGAGAAAACACCCTATCAAATACTGGCAATTTCCTCTACCGTACCCATTATTATGTTTTTCTTTGTTCCATTGATAGGACGGCAGTCAATGTAGCCCATTCTTGATTGCGCCACTACATTGAGAAAAGAAACATTAATGCTGTTTAATGTATACAATGATGTAATTTTTGTTCCGATCATACTTTTAAAACTTTCCTATTGTTGGGATGTTTGAATAGGATGAAAGTTTTAGTTTAGTAGAACCTATTCATGAGAAGTATGTCCAGATACAACTAGAGAAGTTCTTTTGTTTTTATTTCGCAACTCATTTTGATATATCCTACTTATTCTTTCGACAAGTCGTAACAAAGCGAGGCGCATTCATCCTTTTCTCCATTGTTTTCTATATAAATCAACCAAAACAATTGTGACGTGCAAAAAATTCCAATCAATCGATGACGAAATGCTTCGCTCTGCATTGAAAGTGGATGAGGAGCACTTCAAAGAAGCACTTTATTCGGAAGAGAAACGAATATCTACCACTTCGAATACATTAATACTACGGCACACATTATTTCTTTCCAACTTGCATGACGTCATGTGGATTGAATTTTTTCTTGATCATTATAGAAAATAAATCAGTGGCTGTTTTGCTTACCTTCTCCACAAAATGAACGAATTCTGTGTCTTTTTCTTTTTCTTTTTCTTTGTTTTGCTTCACCATGAAGATTGACTTGTTGATGCATATACACACTAGAGAAAGCAAACTTGATATATTGTGCGTATAAGGAATGTTTCGAACATTGCATCATTTAACCAATGAACCCATGTTCAGACAGAAGGTACTGACCAAAATTTCATTTATCTTCAAGAATTTAATCTAAAACATGTCTCAAAATGTAAGGATAAAGACGATATTTTATCGATTCATAAAGAACTATCAGAACTTTGTTGAATTGATAATAAATCCAATTTCATGCAAAATTGAAAAGTTATGCATCGTTGTTTTAAAATATCATTAATGATCTTTGCAATCAGAACTAGATCTTGAGACGCAAATCAAATGATCACATTGAATGGTGAAATTTAGAAGGAAATGAAAATCACCATTTAGTGAGCGTAGTCAATTATATTTTCAATTCCAATCGTTTAAATATTTGACATTTTTTTAGCGCCTTATAAGACTATTTAATTCGAAAGCTTAATTTTATATGCTATGAAGCGAAGTTCAAATTTCAAACTCTGAAAGCGATATAAAACACCTTCTGACATAAAAATGAAAGTCATGTTTATAAATTCATTATTGAACATTTAATAAATATGAAATTCGACTATATTATTAAATACTTAATAAGCTGCAGTACAACTATTGTAAAAAGTCAACCATAATCTACTTCCGACTGCTCGTCAACTTTATGAATATTTATTCTCCACATTACTCTTGCCTCGTTCTTTCTTCTTATCACATTTGACTTTTTCTTTCTATGAGTAATATATATCTGCGCACACCAATGTCAACAAATAGTCTTCACTTTTAAAGTAATATCACTTTTATCTTATCTCAGAAATTTTATCTTATCTCAGAAATTTCTTTCAACCTAAAAGAAAAAATGAAGAAAGACAATGTTGTTTTTGTTGGTTTCACATATAAAGGCTTGCAGTAATTCAAATTGAAAACAAAAAAACATCTGAAAGCTCGAAAACCTTTCCAATCTTAGCGTCGTATATTCATCACAAGTAAGCGTAACTTCATCACGATCAACAAAGGAATTCATTATATTCTATAATAATGCTTCGATTTACTAACGTCGATCATAAACCAACACGACTTCCACCTGTCTATGGATATCGCACTCATCCGCTCCTTCCACTTCGACAAGCTCTTGATCCTATTGTCTCTAAAATAGATCAATTAGATGAATTTATTAAAATTGCAAAGAGTGAATGTCATTTTCCTTCAGAACATGGTCTTACTCGTGAAGAATCAGCGTCAATTTATCTATATACTATGGATTGGGGTGAACAAAGTCTCTATCGAATACTCAATGGAGTTCTTCGTGAGAAAGATCGATCAGTATTAATACCATGGCATGGTTATCTCAGATTATTTGATACTGCATTAAAAAAACTACCTAGTCTTCAAATCAACTTATGGCGTGGTATCAATGGTGACGTTAGTCAAAATTACAAAGAAAACGATGAGCTAACTTGGTGGTGTTTTAGCTCCTGTTCATCTTCAATTAAAGTCGTCAAACAATTTCTTGGATCCATATCAACATTGTTCATGATTGAAGTAAAGAATGGAAAATCTATATCAGTATATAGCAATTTTACAGAAGAAAATGAAGTTATTCTTCCATTGGGTACTCGACTTCGTGTTGTCAGTGATGCATTAGATCATGCGTCATTAAACGTAATACACTTGCGCGAATTAGTCGATGAAAATGATCAAGAATTAACATCATCCTTTGCAAATATGGGTGTCACTACATCAATCAAACCTCAAATGGGTGAGTATTTACTTTGTAATAGGTTAAGTAGACAATGATTGTTACTTCCTAGATTACAAAGAAACATTGCCAAATAACCAATCCTCGACATTTAAAATCTGGACTGACGAAAATGGAAACAAATATGATATCACAGTTCGCATATCATATGATGGCAAATTTCGTTATTCAATGTTGATGAATGTTTGTCAAATCTTTTACATTATAAGAGAACAACGACTAAGGAGCATGGAAGAACGGGAAAAAACACGGAAAAGGCACGTGTTACTTTGCCAGTGGGGAGAAGTATACAGGTGATTGGATCGACGACAAGAAAGCGGGTCAAGGTGTTTTTACTTGGCCCAGTGACAGTCGATACGAGAAGGAGTATTCACAAATCTCTTCTTCTGGTCTATTATGATGGTCTATGTATTAGAAAGAATAGTTGATACAATCGACGAACAACTGATGGGACAATTCAAGGATGACAAGATGAACGGAAAAGGCACGTATTACTATGCCAATGGGGACAAGTATACAGGTGATTGGGTCAATGACATGCGAACAGGTCAAGGTGTTTTTACATGGGCCAGTGGGAACAAGTATACAGGTGATTGGGTCAATGACATGCGAACAGGTCAAGGTGTTTTTACATGGGCCGATGGCGATCGATACGAGAAGGAGTATTCACAAATCTCTTCTTCTGGTCTATTATGATGGTCTATGTATAAGAAAGAATAGTTGATATAATCTACGAACAACTGATGGGGCAGTTCAAGGATGCCAAGATGAACGGAAAAGGCACGCTTTACTATGCCAATGGTAAAGTTAAAACAGGACAATGGTCAAATAATATCTTCATGCGATGATTTATTTCTATTCTTTTATCACGTAAGACACATCTCTCAGCCAACCTTAATTATTTGTGTTTAGAATGAACAAAGTAAGTAAAAATCAAACGAGAACGATAAATCAGTTTTATTGTGCATATCGAATTATCAATAAATCCAAAAATAATTTTGAAAATTCTAATGAGCTAGATAGTAAAATAACAAGTATTACCATCATGCGTCTAGCAGTTTTTAACAAGCTCTAGAAAGTAGTTGCATTCGAAAACAGAAGAAATACGAAAAAAGTTTGAGCGCATATCTGCCAAAAGAAAGAAGTCTGGTTAATGAGAGTGCAAATATAGAATGGAATGGAAGGTCTAGGCAAGAGTAACTCAAAAGGAATTTCCTAGCTCGAACTCACTGTTATTACGTACACTCCACACCCACACGTACAATCACCTCCAGCTACCTATACTCACACACTCCTACTCGTGAAAGTCAATATGAAGTATTAACAATTCTTTTTATCACAAGCGAAAAGGACGAAAAGTAACGAGTAACATCGTATTGAATGAACGTATTTTATTCACTCTTGTTCTCTTTAAATTACTTTGTTATAATTTTGTTTAGAAATCAGAAGAAAAAGGTTTTGCTTTAGGAAGTCGTCTAATTTTTTTTTCTTCAAATGTCAATTATTATGTTGACTTAAAAAAATAAGAAACTAATAACATTCTACAATTTAGTACTCCAATTTCATTCAGAAAAATGCTCCATCGTTCAAGTTTCGTAGTAAAATATCAGTACACGAGTTTCTATTTTTAACATGACTGTTGCTGTGACTCTATGCAAATATGTGGATAAAAAATGTGAAGTCCATTGGTTGCATCCATCAAATTGTCTTTGAACCCTAAACCATATCACATAGCACTATCAAAATCTATAGATTGGAATGCTTCATTTTATCATGAAAATGCAATATGAGTTGGTGGAATTCTTTTAGTTTTCTATTTTTTACGCTAAAATAATAGTTAGTGTTTTAAGGACAACAGTTATGCTATTTTCTAGTAGAGACAATTTTTTAACTGTAGACTATTGAACGACACTTAATAAAAAGTCTAAAGAAAACAGAGAGAACAAAAGTGACTCTTTGAATATAGGCCATCCATCATGTGTACCATTATGGTAAACATACCAAGTTAAAATGTTTTCCTGTCGTGGCTGCTTGAAGAATAGATTAAAATGAAAAAAATGTATTCAATCTCCACTGTTTATAATTAATTGATACAAATCATATCGTACATAGTATAATAAGTAAGAAAGATTAATAGAAGAAAGATAGCAAGTTCAACGAGTTAATCTATTGGTTTTTTTTTTATTCAACGTGAGTGATTAAAAAGTATAATCAGTCAGAGAGCTTTCTTAACCCTTTACCCCCCCTTGGTCACTGAAATGACCATTTGTAGAACGATTGCAGAAAATAAAGGAAGCATAGAATTCAAAAGCTCTAAGAGCCCTATTTCTAGTAAACTTCATGAGCTATCGACTAGTAAAAAAAAATATTTTTTTCGCTGTGCTAGTGCCGAGATATATAACTTATAAAATCGATGATTTTCAAAAAAAGTAAAAAATGGAATTTTTTTGGTAAAATTCTTTTTCTACCTCTAGACAATATATATCTTGGCGACGTGTTGCGTGATTTGCATCAAAGAAAGTGTCCACCAGTAGATTATATAAGTTTCAAAAATTTGAAAAGCCTTAGGTAGGCAAGATGTGGTAAAGCATCGAATGGTCACTGAAGGACTTCCAGAAAATCAACCCTTAGCTTTTGGCCGTCTACAATCCGAAAATAAAGTTTTGTTTAAACTACGTAAAATTATAGAGTGGACAATTCTCTACAAAATACGATGTCCACGAGCTCTCTACGACGTTTTTTGGCCGAACTCCGTCGGTATTATGGAAAGTTCACGAAATTTTTTCCAAATCGATCCCCCTACTCCCCCTCAACAAACTACCCTAAAACTCAAGTGTGCGTTTGATCGATCTGACCGTACTTTTAGCATATCGGAGGCACCAATACTCTATTCCAATGGCTGTTTCATCAATAGCTCTTCTGGAACCTCTATGGGGGGTAAAGGGTTAAATGAACATAAGTATTCGTATTCTAATCTGTTTTTCTTTCAAATACTTCGGTTAATAGAAAACAAGATTTGATATTCACGAGATTTCTAAAATTCTTTTGATAAGATTTTATTCAATATTATACTTAAAACAGTTCTTTAAAAAAATCTTTAACTATTACTACTATATATCTTGAACGGTAAATTAATAAAAGCATGGAGGCCTATGAAAATAATTTGACCCTCAAAATATGTAGCTGGCGATTGGTGGGATTGTGTTCATCTCATATTCAATATTTGGAATTTTCTTCAAGTTTTATTCCACAATAACAGTAGCTAACCTGTATATTTAATTAAGGAAACAGTTCAACATATATTACAAATGTTCTAATAATAAAACGATATTGACAAATTATAGTATTGTATTACACAAATGTAGCTATGATATTTGGTGCATATTATCTTTTCTCTAAATGCATACTGATAATATTTTAATATCGCATTTCGAAAAGTGGTTAAATGAGTTTTCAATGATTAGAAATCTTAATAATATTCTACTAAAATCTTTTTATTATTAAATATCAAAATCGATTTTGAATACTCTAAGTTAAATTGTAGTATTTACACAATTATATACCTAGGTGATACTCTTCTAATAAAAACAATACTTGTTTCACTGTTCGTTATATTTACACGATTTGTTTTGATTTTAGAAGACATATTATGATGATCTACTATATGTTTCATGTTATATATCTAATAAAAAAGAGTTTATATATATTTTAAGATACGACATTTTCTTTTTGATTTGCTAGTAATGATAACTACGTAAGTTTTAGCAATATTTCAAATTTGATGTTGAGATCGAATAATATTTTTTCCAAATCAAAAGTATAAGAGTCACAGAATGTTAACATGGTTAGTGGTTCCACTAAAGAGAGAAGGTTCCGATTTGATTAAAAGCTTGTGAGTCTATATTGCGCCCAGCTGTAAGGGATTGATAATCGAGAAGACTTTCTAAATGATTCGTACTGACGTGAAGATTTGGCTGAGATATTGATGCTTTAGTGAATTTTCTTTGTATGGACCCAAATTTTTAGATAAAATCGTATTGTCAAATTTTGACCTCATAACTTTGCCCAGACGAAGGTCTCCGTAAGACTAGCTTATGTATGAAATTTTAGAAGTTCTTCATTGAGTATCTCTGAATATGCATCTTCCAGAATATACATGTTTTATATGGTATGAATGGAAAACCATCTGAAGTCTGAAAAATGTATATCTTAGAGACATTCAATCGAAAACCTCTAAAATTTTGTGTATAAGCTAATATCACTGAGATCTTCATCTGAACACATTTTTCGGGTCAAAATTCGACAATAGGACTTTATCGAAAAATTGAGTCCATACAAAGAAAATTCACTAAAAAAGTCAGCATCTCGGTCAATTCTTAACATCTGCTCGAACCCTTTGGAGCTTGTTCTAATATATAGGTCCTCCTTGACGGGGCCGAAGATGAATTCAAAAGCTTTTGATCATATGGGGACTTCCTCTCGTAAGTCTAACAATGAAGCCTCTGTTTATTGTTCATATTTGATACTAATTTGTTTCTCAATGGTAAAGTCAACAGTTTTTCTATTAATGTATTTCATGTCCAATAAAAATGGCATATATTTATTGATCATCACTAACTTTAAATCATTTTATGATGTTTTTCAAGCATTCTTCCATATATATAGAAGTAATCGATTATTGATCAAAATAGATTTTCATTAATGTTTAGTTCAGAATAAGTGAATCGAAATAAAAATGATAAAAGTGAATTATTTCAGATGATCAAGATAATGATTTAGATGAATTATAAAATAATTTAAAATTTGTATCGAGTCTAGATGAAAACATCAGAGTAACTGTTATCAAAATTTATCCCGACTCGCTACAATCTAGTAGAGTTGATTTTATCTATATATACATATCTGAATGATATCAAATTTTGATGTTTATATAGCTTATTCAGTGAATTATTTAATATTGTCACATCTGATCCATACAGTGAATTTCATCTCTATTGTATCTATTCACTCATCTAATGCATTTGTCATTTTCTGTTTCATATAATCTATGTTATGAATTAGTTTTAATCTTTGTGCAAAATGAAATACAACTTGCGTAAAGAACTTTAGGATTTTTTGTTATGAGACGTTCAATTTAAAATACAAATAAAATATAAATTAAGCAAATTTTTTTTTATCGATTCTTTACATACTAATTCTAATCGTTTAGCATAAGCCCATTGAGATTTTTGAACTGTTGATAAAATAGTACATAACACATTTCCATTTCCTAGTCCGAGTGAAGTCGATGGATCTGTTATTTCATGATTGATAAGTAAATCAACTAAACGTTCATTTACAAGAATGATAGCAAGTGAAAGTGATGTTCGACCATTACATACAGCATTTGGATTAGCATGATGTTCAAGAAGTAGAAGAACTAGAGATAATATATCTTCTGTTGCTTCACGTGTGCATATTATATGTAAAGGAGTACGACCATGTGGAACAGAGTCATTCTAAAACGGTTTTTTTTTGTTTTTCGATGAAATATAAAAACTCTACTATTCTATATGTACCGATAACTGATGGATCAGCAAGTGATAAATATTCTTGACCACCTGGTAATGATTCTGCATTGACATGTGCTCCATGTTCTAATAATTGTTGAGCAATATCGATTGCATTTGATGATAAACAATCACAAACAATATGTAATGGAGTTAAAGAAGCATGAGAATGTCACTAGCATCACGTAGGATGGTACAAGCATTATCTAGGATGCTAAAAGCATCCTCGAGAATGTCACTAGCATCATCTAGAAGACCACAAGTATTCCCTATGGTGCTTCGAGCATTCTGTAGGATGCTACAAGTATTTCATAGGATGCTACAAACATTATCTAGGATGCTACAGATAGTCCCTAGGATACGATAAGCATTCCATAGGATACTACAGGTTTTAGTTGAGATGCTTCAGACATTATCTGGGATGCTACAAGAAGTATGTGAGAATCTTGTGCTACTGTGAAGTACTGAGTAGGAATAATGGTGTACGCAGAGACGTGCATGGGTCGCGGCTCTTCGGGGGGCGCTTCGGGGGGCGCTTCGCGACCTCACGCCGCGACGCTGAAATAAAAGGTATGTTAGGTGGGGAAACGCGCTTCCCCACCGAATATCCGCAGAACACTTGAGAGGTTAAAATTTGAATAGTTCAGTTCAATAGTTGAATACTTGAATTCAAGTTTCAAGTATTACATATATGAGAAACCAATAGAAAAACAAGTTTACTCGAGAAAAGAACTCGTAATTCTGCTGAATAATACGGCGTTAAAAGTAACATCTTGTTCAAAAGAAAAAACACACGCTGTTTTGTGGTCCACTTGATCTAGTTTACATAGAACAGTCCAAATGCAGCCTCTTTCTGGATATTACGAATGTCCAAAATGTAAATGGTATGATAACCAAATGACGATACGTCATCCTTCTTTCTATCAACTGCGGTAAATCGAGTCGGCCAGACAACCTGAAAACTCAACTGCCTCTGTTATGGTTTATTCCATTCAACCATGACATCTATACCTCGACTATTTCTTTCGTATCTCCTTTTTTGTTATTATCTTTTTCTTTCTTTTGATATTCTTACATATTTGTGAAAGTAAAATAAAACAGTCAGTTATGCTTCAACTTGAATGAACTCGAATGTCCTTAATATCAAGTGCAAATATAAGCATAACAGTGGTGACAGCGGTTTAGAAAAAAAAATTTTTTTTTTCTTTTAATTCAACGACGGTTATAATTTCTTAAAGAAGGAATCCTTCTTATTCAGGAGTTGA